ATGCTGACTAATCCAAATGGTTGAAATAACGTCTGTCTAGAGTGTGGCATGAAACATTTTGTATCGAAAGGGACCCAATCACTTTCCAACTCTTACTGCTACTTCAACTGCCCTACCTGTAAGGTGATTTGAAGCACATGACTGAAACCCATGATCACACTTGTGGGTGTATTATAAGATAAGAGGTCTAGTGTTGTCTGCTGCTCTCTTAGCCACTCTTAGATTACTTTGCAGATTAATATTATTTTTACTATTATTGTTAGTCTCCTGAGTATCGAGTGGAAAAAAAGACCTCAACTGCACTTCGCCATACTATCCACCTCTCCGTAGTATTTTGTGGTTGACTCTGAAACCGCCCACTTAACTACTATTCTCTGCCCACATAATCGTGACCATGCCTCTGTCGTACCAACGCTAATGTCCTCATGTCCCATTCACGTTCCACTCAACGGATTGGCGAGTGATATCATTCAACGGTCTCCTTAACGCATGTACTATCTACCTCTGTTTCACTTGGCAAATTGTTTGGCAGTAGGTTCATGATTGGGTTGTCTCCAAACTTTCATGATGCTAATATTTTCTGGGCTCCTGTTCTTCAGTACTAGGGCATCAAAGTAAAGTGTTGACAAAAGTCTGCAGCTGCCTGTTGGAAATTCTTTGTCAACACGATAAGCCTCTGAATCATGCAGAAGCATTGGCTTGACTGCACAGCGTGAAGACCCACATCTCTCACCTTATTCTCGGTGGAGTAGACTCGCAAATGGATTTGAAGACAGTGAGGTCCTGTTTTGCTCTTAAAATCTCAGCTGACTGCAAAGTCTTCATCCTCGCCACCACGTGTAGTTGAAATCGTGTTGCCTGGATAAGTGAAAGAAGTGACTTACTTCACATTTCTGCAGTTACCGTTGATTGGCAGATGAGTTGTTCTCATCACTTTTATTTTCTTTAAGGTCACCTGAAGACGTGTTTGGATCCATTTGCAGGTCTTCGGGTTTAAGTGGCACTTGACATAATCCGTCCGCAAAGCTAAAACCTTCTTCAATCTTCTTGTTGCAGCAACCTTTGACCATTATCTTGCTGTTCACGGTCTGTTACAGAAAAGAGTTGGCCAAGACCAGGAATACCACCAGTGATCAGCCTCATTGAGCTTTTCGTTGTGGATGTCTTCATATTCAACATAATTACATAGCACTCCGTAGCTTGCAACGCTGTCGAAATTATTTTCAGAGTCGATGAAGTTGGGGTAGACATTTAATTACAATCCTGTGCTCTCTTCTATAATGAAGCGAAGCGTTGAGACTTGATCTGTACATGAATCGCCTTTTCTTAATGCAACTTGTTACCGTGGGAGTCATAGCACCATTCATTCCATCAAGGATGGCAGTAGCTAATAGCTTGCTTGGATTAGGCAGAAGCGTGATTCTAGGCCAGTTCTCGCAGACACATATGTCGTCATTCATTGATAGTTTGACAAGGTAGAATGTCCTTCTGACCCCCATGTAACCTTCTTTCAACCAAAACTCTGTGAATCCGTGGCGTGAGTTAATCCGATGGGGTGACTGAAGACTTCCGTCTGGTTATTTTGCTTTTCCGGCTTCCAGTAACATTTTGGTTTTCGAAACATCTCACTTTGTTAGAATATTGGCGTTCATTTGGAATACTGTGCTTGCAGTAGATGACATTTCTGAACGATTTACAGGTGTTAGTGTGTTCGACAGTTTACTTCGTTTCTTCTCTTCTATGCCTAGCATACCTTCACCGTGCTTCATTGGTTTCATCTAGGACACCGACGTGTTAAATTCAAGTAGTATTCTGAAGTTTTCCTTCCATGAGACATAATCTACTTCCATTGCTAATATGTCGTTACCTATCCTCTTCTCGTTTTTATGTCCAGTATTCTGAGTCATCATATTCCTGAGATTGAGACGAGGACTTTCTGATATCTGATGTACACAAGTGACAAAACATGTGTCATTTTGTGTATATTGTATTGCTACCTGCAACCAACAACTGACTGAAGGTACAGAAGCATCCACCGTCCGCATATTTTTCACCCAAAACCTCTCCACCTACGACACGTTTCCTTCCTTTCTTGTTTGCTTCCAATTGTCGCATTCTGATGTTGCTAATTGATGTCGTGCACATAACGACTTGCAGTTGTCGATATGATCCCTCCCCCCTCTTGGTTAACCTCGCTTGCAGAAGCATGGCACCAAAAGTCTGGTTTGTTTTAATTGTGTGTGTTGTGTGTTTGTGAGTGAATGAAGGCTAATTTGAATAAAAAACAACCAGTAAACAATTTCGGTTGTCTTCGCTGGAGGATAGTGGGACTCTGAAGTGTTACCATCATCTGCGAAGTGAAATCATTGTACATTTATTTCCTTTTATGAATTCGAATCGAGGGAGCAAGATAGTCATTGCAGAATAAAAATGTCACCATCATTTATTTCGTTGCCTCTGAGCTGTAAGCAGATGACGATAAGCCCAATAAATAAAAGATGGTACATTTTTATTCTGCAAAAACTATTGTTCTTACTTTATTCGAACTCATTGTACTCAGACAGTATTAAAAGAAAATACATAAATACGAAAATACAGTCGAAGGAAACTCATTGGTGAATAATAACACAGTTTTATGATTTATTTTAATTACGAAAGTTCAAATAAATAACTGGTGAATGAGTAAACATAGTATTAGGTTCATGAATAGAACTACATTTGAGTTTATGAATCGTAAGATGGAAATGCGCTTGTTTACAAAACTCCAGGTTCATTCTACTAAACCTCATTTATTCGAGAGACTACTTCTTCAATAACCTAAACAGTAGTCAGCCTTTCCATCGTCAGTTAACCGATACTCAAACACGCAAGACTTTCGTCATCCAGTAGTTTTAAACGACTGATCGTAGGGACGAAACTTCAACTATTTGCGATTTTGTAGCCCAATATGCCTAGATAACGGAGTAAAAAACTAGATAGACTTAAGTGTGCTGCTGACTGCTGCTTTCACAAGAACCCACAACTATTAAATGTTGTTCTCAAAACTACTTCAACTCACCAGACCAGCAAACAACTAGAAAACTTTTTGTTAACTTGAGCAGCAGAGACTAAGGAATTACAAAGATGTACGGCAAATGGGAAATGAGGAATGTGGGCACGGCATCATTCCGCTGGTCGAAATTCTCTCAACAAATAACCAGTGTCAACTAACATTACGGCATGCACTTATTTTGTGTTTTTTTTCACTTCAAACAGAAATCTTGAGACTTGAACGCTTATATCAAAGTAAATGGGCGAAGGATTTTATCGAATGTAAGTCCCGTCATTCACACATTCGATTCTTTTATTTTCCTGAAATGATCTGTATGTTGAATGAAGGCGTGAATTTTCACTGAAGTTAAAAATGCTAGATTATTAGTTGAAATGAATTGCAGTATCACTGGAGACGACCAAAGGAATTCAACCACCCCACAAACAAATAATTAAAACTAGTATTCCGGAGAGTGACCTCTAGATGTCAGTAGCACAGAAAATTCTCTCAACAAAATAGTCTGCAAAATTTTATGGAGAAACTTCAAGTTGAGGAATGCATTTCAAGTGCACATTTTGCAAAGTACTCCAGTACACATCTTCCCAATACGCATAACACTAAATACTGAATTAAGCATATATTGTGACAACATCGGGCCATCTTCAGAACGAATGCCATTGATTCACCTTTCAATATCATTTTCAATGCAGAAGCAATATGTTCAGACGGATAAGTTATGTAATGCCTCGAATAAGTTGCCACGTTTAAAAACAAACAGCTTCTTTTTTCCGCTTGGCCTTGTTTGTATTTTCACGTCTGACAAACCCCCAGTATGCATTTCATGTTTTCCTACTCTCCCCTTCATATTATGCTTCCGAGTACAAGTAAATAAGAACCCAAAAATTATCTCCCTTTTTACAGCAATCGGTGCGGAAGATAAGAATCAAGTGAATCTTTATAATGGTAGGTTATTCCATCGTGCATGAGACACACTCTTTTGGTATTTGAAGACAAAACCACCATGTTACTGTTTGTGGGATGAACGTCAGCTTGAAATCATTTGGTGTGACAGTTTTCATCAGAGGTGTTCATATAAATTTTTATTTGACAACACTAACAAGTGAAGCCACTATCGCTAGGCTATACGAATACAATCTTATCCACTTAATGAAGAATTGTCAAATCGGTCGTCAACTCAATGAAGAGTGATGTGGTATTGAGTAGTGAAAAGATTTCCTCCATCGTCCACTTTCCTTACAATGTCCTCTTCAACATAAGCTTGTTCAATACATGCATGATACAGTGAAAGAGGATGCATCAGTGATGACATTTCAAACATAATTTATAATCTAGAGATATGTCAAGTTCATTTACATGGTTTGGAAACCTGATTATATAGTTCTATTTTTTTTATCAAATGCTGAACGGTTGAATAAATCCATAGTTATTCAGTTACATTATAAAATTCCTACTGTTATTTGTTCTCTGTGTTTCTGAATGAACCATCGAGGTGCTCAATTCAAAAGGTGTCTTTGAATGGTTCAGTCCAGAACAACAACATAGGAATAATATAGGTGAAAGTAGACAGCTTTCTCTTAAATTCAAGTGATTAAATGAACTTTATATTGTGTGTCATTTCTAATGTGGCATTATCATATGCTTGTTGAATGAGATGTATCAGAGTATGCAGCACTTAGCAGTGTTAGTAAGGGAAACAAGTTGTTTCATGGTCGACACTGCCGAAAGTATTCGTAAGTTTTATAAGGATGAGGAAACCAAATGACAGCCACTCCAGCCTATGTCCGATGATGATTCGCAGTTGTGCAATCACACTCGTTAATGATCCCAGAGGCAACATTCATTAGTGATATGTGTTGAGACAGAATGACTTTCAGATTATTATGAAGATTTAATACTGTTAAAAATGTCGTCTGTTTATAAATGAACTCAATTCACATTTTCCTACTGTTGCAGTTTACAAATACATAGTGTAGATTTTTGGCTATTTGAGGAATTAATTATGTACCGAAAAATGCTTCTTTTCTCTGTAGATGAATACAAGAAGGCATTGGAAGAAGATAAAGCTTTTAATTATGAAGTTCTTGGTATGACTGGTATTTTTTAACCAGCATTTATAATACCGCTTAAACTGAAATTCATTACAGTTAATCATTGCTCCTTTGGGTTCCGTGTGAAACACAGGACTTCACCAACACATCTCGTCTACGTTTTACTTTCCGACGTTTCCTTCAACTGGGTCCACGATTGCCTATAATTTGTCACCTCCCCCTCACAAAATCTCCTCTATTTCATCTTAGGACGACCAACCCGTCTCTTCTCATTGGAATTTAACTGGAGAGACTGCCCGGCGCATGATGTCATCCAACGGGCTCGTCATTGTGTGCCTTATCCATCTTCATTTTCTCCTACACATCTGTTGAGCTATCAGCTCTTGTTTGGCTTGTTCCCAGCCAGAGTGTTTTGTTGCTAATTCTTTCTGGTTGACCATTTGATTTTCATTATGGAGCTAGAGAAGGCAGCTGTTGCTAAATGTCTGTGACTAGTTTAAAATACTTTTCGTTACACGTCAAGTTTCTGAGCCGAATAGAGGGACCGATTTGGCATTGGTGTTGAAAATGCGAATCTTGTTCTATATATGTTCAATATGTTCTATATGAAGATCTCCAAACTGGTTTTAGGTTGACAAAAAGGGAATGTCGCCTTTCCGATTCTGACTGGCTGACTTTGACATCTTCATCCATTCCGTATGTGGTTGAAACGATGCTTCCTAGTCAGATAAGTGAAGGAGGTCACGACTGAAGATCTCCCCGTTTGATGGTGATTGGTGCTGATTGTTGTTGTTGCTACTATCCGTTGGTTATATTCATCACCTCCATTGTTTCTGTGTTCACCTGAAGTCTAGTCTTCTACCCTGCCACTTCTGTAGTTTGTTTGCTTTTTTCGACCGTAAATCTTAAAGATCGTGTGGCATTATACATCTATCATCTAAGAAATCTAGAGCTTCTTGTGTCTTCTTATCGAAGGTTCAGCTTTTTATTGTCTTCTCACTCTTAATCAGAGTCTGACGCAAAATCCAGCGAACCGCAATTAGGAATTTCACTGGTGATAATAGCTAACCAGCTTTCCTTAATCCTGTATTCACTTCGAACGCCTCACTCAGTTTTCCGCTGTGGATCACATGACACGTGGCATTGTCATATAGCCAGCTGTTGATTAACGTTGATAAATTTTTGAAGACGGACGGCACATCGTAGTATTAAAGTAGTTTCCAAATTATTTCTCGGTCAACGCCACACTGTCAAAGATGATTTTAAGTCGATGTAGGGCGTTGAAGTAGAGGTTTGACTATCATTCTATGCTTTGTTCAATGACGATGTGTAGACATGTGATTTGACCACCGAACAACATACCTTTTCTGAATCCGGCTTGAACCGGTGAATGTCAGAGTTCTGAATTCAATGCATCGTTTAATCCTTTCAAGATGATGTAACTTGGTAGTTCTAATTGGCGTGGACAACAGCATCAATCTATCTCAGATCTTGCAGAGGCCTTAGTCGTGCTCCTTTGGCAGTTTGACGAGGTAGCCTTTCTTTCAATCGGCAGGTGGTATTTCTTCCTTCCTAATCATTTGTAATAATGGCGTGAGAAATTCTGCTGCAGTGTCTGAGTCCATTTGCAGTGCTTCTGGGAGAGTTTCGTCCAGTACTGTTGCCTTCTCGGTTGGATTTCAGAAGCTGTATCGCATTCAGGACTTCTGCTTTTGTTGGCAGATTGGTGTCCACTAGTAGGCAGCTCTGTGCTTGTTGTCAGTGGTGGCGCTATTTCTGGGTGAGTTACAGGTGACAGACGATTCAATAGTCCTTCAAAATGATCAGCTTATCATTTTGTTTGCTTCTCCTCTTTCGTAATCATGTTCCTTTGATCAGCTTTTATTAGGTTGATCTTTACCCAAATAGAAACCTGGTTACCATCTGATATAATGTTCTGCGGTATCTTCTAACTGCGCACTATTTATTCTGCCTCATTTGCAGGCCAGTCTGTCGAATAAATTGCCTTCTGACTTTTCTTGCACTCGTTTTCAATTTCTTATTCAGTGCAGTGTACATTGGACACAAAGTCTCCTGCTTTCCGTCTTTTTGCATTGAGTCATCTTCCTATTCACCAACCCACTCTCCTCTCTTCGATAAGCTTCCAGGTAGATGTCCGTTGAGAGCCATTCTTTGTATTTTTTCTTCCTTTTGCCTAAAACATTTGTACGTGTTTCCTTGACCACTGCTTTCCAATGCTCTTTCTCACAGTTTTCCCCAGTGATGCTAGTAGTGTCTCAAATCTGTAGTTAGGACATCCGTACTAGCTTTTTCCTTCAGTTTCTGAATTTTGAACTTGAATTAAAGTGGCCTGTCTCCGGTTATTCTGTGCAATTTCAGATTCACGTTGAAGTAAATGATTGTCTGAGCCCTCATCTGCTCCTTTTTCTCGAATTTGTATCCAGCAAGCTGGCCGTGTATCCACTTCCTTGAGCAGTATTGAGATGAAGTTTATCTGGTTTGTGGTCCATCCGTCAGTCAAAATCCACATTGCTTTGTGTGTTTCCTCTGTCATTCACCATATCATTAGGAGCGCAGAGTACTGAGAATAGTTTCCTGTTCTCATTCATTTCTCCGGTTAACACCATCTCGATCTATCATGAATTCTCTCCTATGTTAATCTCACTTCTGCAATAAACTATTTTAAGCAAAATCCCATAAGGATAAATCTGACCGCGTTCAAGATATTTCTTACCAAAGTAGACCGCTCTCTTCTCTGTTCCTAATACTGCTTTGTTACTAAGATCCATTGTTATGAGAAATCACATTCCAGTGATATTCAGAAGATCTACGGGTTATTTGTTTATTGATAGATGACATTTTCGTATCAACCGATGATGGCCTACACAGTCTGCATATGTGAAGTAATCTTGTGGCTTACTCTAACTCAGAAACCTGACCACATTAACAATGTGTTAGGCATGGCTAAGGTGAATTCAATGGTCAGTACCTGATACTAAGTAGAAACCTACTGGATGCCTTAAACTGGGTCATACTAAGACATCCAGATAGATTACCACTGTCATTATGTTCGAGGATCATTACGCAGCTCAAATAATCATCTGTTCGCATCTGACAAAGCTTATGAGTAATAAGTATGCCATGTGAATTTATATTTATTCCTTCAGTTAATAAAGGACTATACAGGCGGTTGAAAATGCTGATTTCAAGAAAATGGGAAAATCGAAAAAATCTTGATATTGCAGAAGGTAAAAATTTTATGATTCCACTATTTAGAAAGGTAGTTGGTTATTTAAATTTTGTAAGAAAGAAATTCTTCTTCTGTAATTAGGTGGAGTGCGTGAAGCCACAAAAACTTCTCACTTTTACAGAAGACCTACAACAACACATCTGAATTGCGATATTTCGTCTTAAACATCACACACAAGAGTGTGAATTCTGACTAATCGAGCGAGAAATCGTGATAAATCACTTACTGATGGTTCTAAATTCATGAATTAGTGGCGTTGCATGAGAAAATGACTTTCTGTAGGATTGTTCTGCACTTTCTATTGATTGGTCTCACTGATTTATATTCACGATCGTGTGTATTTTAAGGCTTTTTGAATGTTCTCAATTTCCTCATCAGCACTGTTATTCACACTTGATAGAGAATGATGAGAATACCTTGTGGTGACGCGCTACGTAAATAACAGAGAGTAGTTCATGCAATAAGCGACAGTAGGCAAACACCATCCATGTATTCACTTAGTCATATTTTGTCATGAGAATCAGTTGAAAACCGACTACTTTCCATCGGTATGTGAGTGAGAATACACTTACTCGATGGTTTGATAGCATTTTCTAACAAAGCTTTATACTTGGTAAATAAGTTAATTGTGGTATCATTTGAATTGAATTCAGCTGAATCCATCTTCAGATAAGTTGATTATGATAATGCTGGATTCATCGTATACCAGGAAGTTTGATGACTATCTTATGTATCAATTGCAGACAAATTTTTTGAAGAGACATCAGACAGTTTGAAAAAATACAAAGGTGGGTTTTGTTTCACTTTGAAATTCATCTTTCGTAACTTAATAACTGTGCTGAAATATATCTCCTGTCTTTGTGAATAATAGTTTCTCTAATCCAATTAATATACCTATTCACAATTCCACTGTAATGTGGTGATACTTATTCGTAACAAATCATGTCTGACTATCCTTTATGACAGTCAGATACATCAGCTAGTTGACTGATTGACTCAATTCTGTAGTTGTTTGAATATGTGGTTAGGCTGTATCTACGCACTCAAACACTATGTCTGCTCAAATTCATTTTGTATCAGCATATTTACTACTGACATAAAACACCTCCGTCACAATACCGAACTCGACATAGGTGGATCTCGATCGGAACTCTATTCACAGAAAGATCATCTTGTTGAGTAATACTTGATGAAAATTATGACAATGAACACTACTGTCCATCACCAAGTGTTTATTTGTGATTGGGTATCTTCAAATTACCATATTATGTACACCTTATCTTCAAACGACCATTTGCATAGATCTTCCGCGTTGTTCTACTTCTCTCTTTTGTATTACATTTCTTCGTATTCTTATCACGTCTCTCAAATTTTAACAATACGCTGAATCATTTGCTTTCTTTGACATCAAATCTATCTCACTGCTCTTTAACATTTTTATGCCGATTAATGGTTCTTTATATTTTACTGATAAATTTTATCAGTAGTGCACGTCACTTCAGTCAATAACATGCAAACCCCCTAAAAATGTAGCATTTCCTTATAAATGCAACTTGTATTGTGAGAAACCATTGACGCGATTATTCATTCAATGATTTGACAAATTGTTGTATGAAAGTTAAATATTCTATGCAAACGATTATTGTTCTATAATGGACAAAGCCAAGTTAACATTGAAAATAGACACAAATGCAGTATGAATGCAGTTTACACCTAGTGAAAGCATTTGTTTTACTGATATCAGTAAACACCTTGAAATGTCATGTGGTAATTAGGACATTATCAATAGGATAACCATAAAATTGTGATAGTCAGAAGCCATTGCGTGAATACGATCACTTCACGTTGAAGAATACACAATGAAACATTTCATACTTTTCGATATTGTGAAATTATAGTACAAATTGAACTGACAAAGAAGGACTTGATGGAAGCGAAAAAAGCAGTGAATGCATCCGAAGGTAAAAGGATTTTGTAAATTCATATTGCACACTACGTTCATGAATAATAAAATTTTATTATGAAAATTCACTAGTCATTTTGTTAACAGTTAGTCATTAGGTGCCCTATTTACTCATCAATAACAGACACATTAACTAGTTTTTATTAGATATCTTTTTCACCACCAGTACAATAACCTCTCAGAAATAATCGGAAGGCCAGTTTTTCCACCAGTGAGTCGTCCCTCTTTTTCTGAGGAGTGGACTAAACTTTTGAAAGCTGATATATTCACTGTGTGGTGAGAAGGAACGTGTTGAGATATAATCAAATTATTATGACACGTTTTCGGATCATCAATATTTTGTATTCAGTATGATGATAAATATGACAATTTAGTTTCTTGATCAACATTTTAAACATCTTTCAACACTTCTTGTTTTTTAGCTAAACTTAAAGTGCTGGAAACAGCAGCAGTCATCGCATCTAATGCATACAGAAATAGTTCAAGTGAGTGAATATATTCATCAATTTTATTAGTTTACTGTAAAGCACAATGAATCTATGGACAGGCCTAATACGATTCACTGTTGGATAAACGTGGTAATGATTATGTATAATACGTAGGCGTGTCTAATTCACCGTCAACACACACACGCCTGACAGAAGAGTAAATCAAGAGTCTATCCTTTCAAGATATTGGTGTGATAATTATAGTGAAGATACCATTGTCTGTAGAAGTGGAATTGAATGCACTGTCATAGAATATAAATCGATATCAGATCAATTCGCTGAATATAACACAAAGTGTCATGATATTGAAAAGTGAATGGTGTTTCTAGGATAATTTATCTCGTATACTTTATCATATTATTGTATTATCATTACTTAGATTATTTGCGAAGATTGAATAAGGAAGCATCAACAAATGGTGAGTGAACAGTTTTTCCCTGCTTGAAATATTTCGAAGGTAAAATTGTATTCATCACTAAGCTCCATGAGACTCATCTTTGATTGAAGATAATGACATTCCTACAACAAGAAACTTCAGAACTTCACGTTTAACAGAGAATAGCATCATCATAATTGCATTAGAGCGAAAAATAATGAAAATTTTGATCGTCAGGAAGCCATCGTCGAATAGAGAATGAACAAATACAAACAAAACTTTCCTTGACATTTTGAATTGGCTGAGACTCGTTCTTGAAGGTCTCCAGTTTGAAGATCATCTGAAGTTAAAGTCAACAGACCAATCAGACGATAAGTTGATGTATGTATTTACTCACTAATTGAAAATACAAAGTGCGCAAATTACTTACACGTATCTATTTCTACACTGAGTGTATTTGTATGAAGTATTTCCCTTCAATATCTTCAAGTACATATGCAACTATCAATTTGATAACGGGTCATTATTCCTTTCAGACTCATTGAATGATGCTAAAATTACACAAGTGTATTGGAAAGCTCGTACTGATTTTGCCGACGGCACAGGTAATTTTTTTTGATTCGATCAGATTTCATATTTAATAGTTATAGTGATGAGTGCACTTCTAAGAGAATTCCATTTTCGTAAAAGAGACAGAAGTGGCTAATGACGTGTATATTATCAAGTTGTCTTTTTCCTTAATTCCACATTTGGCTATATTATTGACAAAATTAGCAATATTACTTGTCACACTTATATTGGAATTTGCAAACTGTTGGACAGTTAGTGAGGAACAGGTCTGAAATATCTAAGCACAAAAGCGTCGAATCTACTGCTCATATTATCGAAACACGCAAAAGTATACCGATAAAGCTTCAGTGACTTCATCAATACATCACAGAATAAAGCTAGAAACGTTTATCACATATTTCGTGAAGTTCAGAATAACAGTTACATTGAAACTACATGACATGATCGAGCATAATGAGATGTGGGCTTAATTTCATACTAATGCAACGTGATGTAACATTGAAAATGCTTCTTACACATCACTGAAAATCTATTCACTGTTTTAGATGAACTACGTGACAAAATAAAACTATTGGAAATGAAGAGGATTGATTTTTTTAAATGTAAGTTGAAATACTGAAATGATTTAGAATTGGTTAGTTCAAAACCTAGAAGATAGAATAAACTGGCTCCTGACTGAAATGAAGGAAGATGCCAAGCAGTAATAATGAAGTGAGTTCCTATTTAGATCCTCAGCGTATTTTTAGTTTCTAACTAACTGCACAGGTGAATATGAACTTGAAGATGGGTTTTGCTGTTAGCTAAAATCAGCTATATGAATGCTTGAGAAATAAATAACATTGAAATTTTCTCCACTCTCATTTCTTGTTTACTCATCAGTTTACAAGCATGTCATAACTCACCTACTGGCTGACTGGTCACATGATCACAGTCGGCGGCTGTGCACAATATCACATCTGTAACACCTGCTGAGAGCGTCGTATATTCAAATGGTGCTTCACATAGCCAATTTCCTGTGAGAGGAATTATAATTCGGAACCAACCAGATAATGTTCACATCTATTCTGTGTTTCAATTGTCACTGAAAGTACTACCTTAAGACTAGTGTCATTGTTGGTTAGACAAAAAACTGTCAACAATAATCCTGCTATACAAGATACATGTCTATTCTCAACTCATTTGTACTTTGCTTCTGGTTTCATTTTATTTCAGCTGCGGGAAAGGGAATTCGATACCAAGGGAATTCAAGCGATATTGATGAAGGGAATACATTGTTTGCTTATCTCTTTTTTGTTTAATTAAATATAATATTTTTTCTTAAGATCTCGTTCCAGTTGACGTTTTCTTTCTTACTAGTAGAGTGCGTTATGTGAGAATGAAGTGGCTGGTTTTAAAAAGGTAGACTAAACTCTTATGCACAACTCGGGGATTATTGTGTTTGGCTAACGAAGTGTATTGTGTACCCGAGAGGAATTGTCAATGAGGAGAAGTGTCAATATTTACCAAAGACTAAAAAGCACGTATATGCACAAAGAAATCCAATCCATATTTTCAAGTTATCTGATACTAACATTTCCAGGAAATACAATAGGAAAGTTGACTTGTGAAGACTTTTAGCACGTGGGTTGGTTGACGTTAGGTTATTTTGTTAACCACAGTGTACAATATAATATAATACATAATATAAAGTCTCAGTCACAATATGCGTCATTAAAATGCAGCAAATTCGTCATCCATGTTATGAAAAAATGTCATGGTCTGAGAATGACGGAATTAAAAGCCTCATTTAATATATCATGTATATAAGGCAACATTATGTTTTGAGAGGTCTTATTTCCGCTATATAAAAAATTCTCAATTATTGTAATGTGTTCAAAATAACATTCAATATCAAAAAGTTATTCACATTTCTCAGATGTTTTAAGCAGTACAAAGATTAACGTGAATGTTGTGTAAACGAAATTGTGCATGCTAAATGCAGACTCTGTTAACAAGATACTGAATGATCTACAAAATTCATAGATTCGCCCATTACAGCACAGCCGAGTTAAAGAGATGTCGCCTTCTGCAAAAGCGACATATGGAATCGACAACAACATGATGTGCACTTGAATGTGTTGATAGGATTTTCAATCGTGAAACTCAACTCTCGTCCTTGTCAGTCAAAATCTCAAAAGACTTTGACAGAATGATTTACATGTGTTCGTAGTTAAGCGATTTCTGAGTGCATGCTTTCCATCATCATGAAACTGCTCATATATTAATCTGTGAGAGAGTGATATACAGAGAGAGCTAGCGAGATATAGAGCGAAACAGCAAGAATGAGAGACTTGAGAATGTTTCGAATTGATGATGGAAATTTACTTGTTCCTTTATTATCCTAGGGATGATTAAATGGTGTGCTTGTTTTTGGAGTAAATGTGTCACTGATTGTGTATGAATTGTATATACATAAGCCTTCACATGCTGATGGATATTTATGGGACACGGTGTACATAAGTCAGTAGTCAGTGAGTCAAGCAGTCTGGCAGTCAGACAGTCACCTCATAGAGTGAGAACTTATGAGCAGGAAAGTGGATGACAAGATTGGTCAAGTGATGAATGCCAGTGCTGACTAAATGAAGCACTGATTTCTGCCAGTCAAGTCTGTATCATCTCTCACCATTCCATGATAGGAGAATTTTGTGCGTGATGAAATCAAACACAGATACAGTATTACTTAATTAATTACTGTGTGCTTGTATCATCAAATGAATTTCTTCTTTGCATGATGGAATCTAATTGTACTGTACCACAGTGTGTGCATAGGCTCTACTCTCCTCAAATGTACTATGACTGCCTAATTATTATTGTGATTTAGGACTTCACTGGATTATGATGCTTCACTCTCACCTTATGTTGACAAGGTGGTGATTGTAATCGATCAGACGGGAAAGCTAAGCTAACGGGAGAATCGATGACTTCGTAGTTGACAAGTAGACAAAGCATGATGAATTAAAATGATATGTTGCTGATACACTACTCGCTCGATGAATGCCTACGTATCTCAGTCTCAGTGAAGATGCAAGTTCGTCAGTTTTCTGATGGATGAATGGATGGATGGATGAATATTCATTCAGAATAGATGACGAGAGATGAGGTGAGGTGATTTTCAGCTCATTAGTGTCTGTCCGGTGAAGGCATTCAGTGAATTGACACAAGATACACAACATTGTGAAGACACAAAGAAAAGTGGATAGAGATGGTGATTGGAGAAATCTACTATTCACCGTTAGTTGAGATTCAGATATCACAAAATTGTAGGACTACCGTTCTACCATAAGAAAAGACAGTCAAAGGAGTCTGTCTCTCCAGCAACGAATACTGACGACTAGTTCACATATGATGTGGAGAATGGAAAAATAGTGAGATAAACGGAGAAAGCGGAGGGGAGTGAGAGAGAGAGGGGACAGAAAGAAGGAGATAGAGGAAGAGAAACAAAATGTGTTTGTGAAGGAGAGACAGCGTGATGAATTGACAGATCGAAATGTGATGAGCGTGGGTGAGTGTGTGATTCACTCTGTGCGTGCGTGTGTGTAAGGTGTAGGGTATATGTTCCTCACTACTTAACTTGACGGCCAACGCACTACTTTACTCAGAACAAAATATTTAGAGCGAACAGCTGTTTTCAATTAATTCTTCTTCAGGCTCTACAATTATAAATCCATTAATTTAAGCATACAATAGCCAGTAAAGGCAAATTAGAATCATATCAGAAAGTGTATTGTGGAACAAGTATAAGATAGGATGGAACGATAGTCAGATCGTTTTTTAATATGCATGGTCAATGAGAACATGGGACAAAATGAGATGAAGTAATTTAATTTAATGATGTGTATATATATATATAAATATAGTCAACAGAAAATACAATTTTGGAGGATGAGTGTAATCAGGGTGTGTGAGACAATATGAAAACAAACCAACGAATGGGGCGGACTAGACATTAGTTCAAGGTTGAAAATAACGACAATGACAATGATTGTAAAATAATGACGATGATATGGTGTAAAATTAAAAGCAATATTGGTGAATGATTGTTAAATAATAGTAATGAATATAATGAAGTGGAATGAAGAGGATTTTGTAAATACGATAGCAAGTTAGAAAAGCACTATTTAAACCTAAGGTGATAAAATCATAAGAAAGGTCATGAAATCATAAAAGTCGAAAATGAACGATTGTCAGTGATACAGAGGAATAGAAGAAGAAGAACGGAAAAGAAAATTGTGAAAGGAATTTATAGTATTAATAGAGGATTAGTTGGCTTTATTGTAGGCCAAGGTAAACATAGTGGTTGAACATACTTCTTCTGTATGCAAAGAGTTGGTCTTCTGGTATTAATTGCAGCCGTTCCAGCTATTCATAGAAGAGGTAGTCGAGCTCCTCTAGTTAAATTACTAGGAACGCGGTAAATAACTGAGAACGCCTGGTCAAGTTTTATCGGGTGTCCAGTATCTACCAAGTGAGCTAAGACTGTACTATTTACGCATTTGGTTACTCCTTCACTCAACCATACAGGTACATGTTCACGCGCGTGCATGGATGAAGCCGTCTGAGTACGGCCAATGTAACTAGCTCCGTATCAGCAGTTTAATTCATAGATGCACATTGATGAGGCCATCTTTGGTAATTTATCCTTGACTTACTGTGTGAGTACTGGTATAGTTGAGAAGTTGAGTACCAGTATAGCTGCAGGAAATATTCTATCTACTGCTCTAATAAGTCGACATTTTAGAATGTCAGCTGCAATTTCCCCTTTGTAACTTAACTTAAGATACAAAGGTTTCTTGTCTACGGTATCCACCTTTACCGTGTCTGTAGGTATTGACGTATACTTTTTTAGGAAGCTCTGTGGATATGCATTTTCTTGCAGAGTGAGTTTCAGTTTATGCATTTCTTCCTTAATGCATTCCTCTGAGCATATGCGCTTTATTCTATAGCTAAGACACTTAACTAAGTTTCTTTTGTAATGAATCGGTGTGAAGCTATGAAAACGGGTGTACTGACCCGTCCAAGTTTTCTTTCTAAATAAATTCCTTTGGAGATATCCGTCTGTCTTCATGGTAAGGAGGATGTCTAGGAAAGGTAAACTGTTATTGTCTTCTTCCTCAAATGTAAACTGAATAGTTGGGTGAACACTATTAACAGCATTCAGAAGCTCTTGTTTATCAAGATTTATATCACAAACGATAAAGGTATCATCTACGTATCGACAATAATACTCAAACCCTTTGATCGTGTCTTTAAGTGGACCATTTTCAAGCTTTGCCAGGAAAATATCCGCTAGCATAGGGCCCAGAGGTGATCCCATGGCTACACCATCAACTTGTCTATAAAAACCATTATTAAACATAAACTGAACATTCATAGTGCATTTCAATAATAATTCTTTGACTTTTTCGGATGGGATTCCTGCATCTATCTTTCTTTCTATCAGCTGGTCACATATGTAGTTGACTGTTTCAAGCAGTGGGACGTTGGTGAATAATGATGCTATATCCAGTGACATCATTTTCTTTCCCTTTACATTCAGGCTTTTGGTAGTTTCCACAAAGCTAAATACATCTTTTACACTGAATTTCACTAATTCGCGATGTAACGGTTCTAGTGCCTTTACCAACCACTTTGCTGTAGAATGATAAGGAGATTGACACATATCTAAGATAGGACGTAGTGGTACTCCTGGCTTGTGGACTTTCAGTAAACCATAAAGTCTTGGTGTGTGCGTACCTGAGGGTTTCAATTCGTCAAGTGTATCCTTAGGAATCAGATTACTCTAAACTAATGATTTTAGTGGTTTAGCCATTTGGCGTTTGGTTGCCTCAGTTGTGTCTTTACAGCTGCTCAGCTTTTGAAATTTCGTATGGTCGCTTAGAACGATATTCATTTTGTCTAAATATTCATTCTTATTCATGATAACTGTACCAGATCCTTTATCAGGTCTAGTTATTATGCACTACTTTACCTCAATAAGCCGGTAATAAGACTGGTAAAGAGGGAAGGTTAGGTATGAGGTTAGCAACCTTACTCGTAAAAATAAAAAAATAAACGCTACTGCTACCAAAACTTCAAGTTTCTAGCTTGACGCCCTATATTCCACTAGGAACGTAAAACAATAAAAAAACCTTATGTGAGCGTCAAATGATGATGAGGTGAACTTTCTCTCATCATAGAGAGACTGTTGAGGACATAATCAACCTGTGAGCCTCTTGTGGGGTAATCATGCGAGGAATAGTGTATGTTCATGTTTGTCTGTGTAATTCACGTGTGTGCGTGTCGTGTTTCCGTCGTTAAAGGAGAGAGATACACTCAGATGAAGATGGATAGACGGAAAGACAGAGAGAAAAGCAGAGAGATAGTATGTATTCCTGTGTATGAGTAAGAGAGAGTTTCTCGAGCTGTAAGAAAGTACGTTAAGCCTCTAATAGAAAGTAACCCAGCCCGATACGTTATCCCATCAAAAATGCACACTGATATTTTGCCACATTCATTTTCCAAATAATAACAACTGGCTTTCTGTGCTTATGTATTGTAGGCGAATTGCCTAGCACTGTCTATCCTACATTTGCCTCATACCTTTCTACTCTGATGAATCAATCAATTTCTGAATGATGTTAATTCACCCATCGTCACCTCATGACACATGATGATGATGGTGATGATATTTGAGTAATGTGGGAGACGTGAGAGACAGTGAGAGGCAAAAGGGTATCAGTTTTCGTGGATTGTGTATAATCGAACGCATTGTGAAAATATGTAGAGTTTTAGTTGAATAAATGAATGTGGCAATGGAACCTTGTCTCTGAATAAAGTTGTTTTTTGATGATATTTATACATGCGTAGGAGTGTTCTGAAATGACCCTAGTTACTAAGTCATTTTTCGGTGGCATGAATGTTAGGTGCACTGCACCGGTTTGTAAACTAATCATCGAGAAAACTAGCTCAATCCTCGACACTTCACTCAATTCAATGCTTCTTTATGCTTCAGAGACTTGGTGTGTCAAGTACAACAGCCTTGTGTAGTATGTCATCAACACCTGATTTTGTTAGTTGGATAGTAAAGACCAGATGTCTGAACAGAAATGATAAGAGATAACCAACAATGGTGACGAACCGTCTTAACAACTTTATCCCAACAAATCAGCAGAAGATAAATGAGATAGATAGGACATACACTGAAGGGACTGTTGAGTAACATCTTATATCATGTCCTCATATTGATCCTAAAACCAAAGCGCTAAGCTGGGTGTTCAAGTGACATCCAGGAGTTCGAGTGAGGATGAAATGAAAGCTTGTGAGCAGTCTTGTAGCCAGCTAAACAAGACTGCATAGAACAGAGTGAAATCGAATTTTCTGTTGGAATGAACGCAGCAACAAACGAACTTATGTATTCTTAACCGGTTTCTATTTAGCAAGTCTTTATCTGTTTTCAGTCGTTTGGTTTTTTGTTTGAAATACCTCCCACTGAGTGTTCATTTGCGGACTCGTAAATTCTCTTTTGCCAACCATAAGTCACGTAAACACCATAGGTGTGTCTTAAGATATGAAGCTGAAAAATTGTCAATAGTCGAGGTTTGCTGCATTTCAGTTTGTGAAGATATGGTCTCAATGAATTGGATTCAAGTGTATCAAGAATTAATCTACAATGACATAGATACATCTTGAGAAATTGTCATAAATTGTGATTTCACTGATAGGCGCATGAAAATCAATGGCGATATTGATAATCCTTGGTAGCTAAACTAGATTTTGTAGTTTCATATGAATGCAAGTCGTGGTTGAGTAATGTAGCTTCAGGCATATTCATGATCTTTATGTATGCCTTGGATATCAAACGATAAAGAAACCAATTTCTTTCAAGGTTAACTTCGATGGGGAATTGAAAATTATCTTGAATGCGTTGCTGTATGTTGTTCATCTAGGAATTCTCTAGGTGGGAAGAGTTTCAGCTTATTATGTTACTGTGAAAGGACTGGAAGCATACAGTCTATTGAAAACACTTTTAATTCATAATTAACCGATTTCTTTGGAATGTAGTAGTACTTGATCTCCATGTAATTGTTTTTTGCAAGATAAGAGAGAGAGACAGAGAGGGCACGAATTTCTATTAACATCCAAGACTGCATTCTTCAACTACATGTGCAGGCTTCGAAATCCAATTTTTTGTTTTGTGTGCACAAATATTCTTTTTCACTAGTTTTTTCAATGAATCCATGCTCAGTTATTCGGTTCCCACAATGTGGTGAAGATCCTAATTTATGAGGCACGAAGAATTTAGTGACAATATTAAGAAATTGAGCAGGTAATCTAACGCATCTTTAAAGTAGTGAATATATTTACGTGAAAGGTTTAAGGTTGGTAAACTTGAGTTGTAAATAATGGGAAGAAGAATTAATATTTACTTGAACAACTTGGTACAGAAATAACCAGTTGAGTGTTTTATACACGAAGCGAATGGAATGAAGTAAACGAGAAGTAGAACTGTCTTTAAATTCACTTTAGAATCAACGATGAGATTGTTGAACAAAATCGAGCAACCAATGCGCTTGGTTGTGTGTATTACCACTTAAATCTGACATCGTAGATCATCGTGTTGACCAGAGATATAGTGTTTTTGTGTGATACAGACTGTGTGTACCAACGGATTATTATTTTCACATATTCCTTCAGTTCAATGCGCCATCAGCAACAGAATACGATATATCTTTTTGAACATTCTATTGGATTTTCGCTGCAACCGTCTTTTTCATAACTCCTATGATCCAATGTGTATATTCCGTGATTCGGAACGTTATTGCCACAGTGCTTTACTGCGTTAGCAACACAATGCTATGCGTATTTGAACATTCTATTTCAAGTCGTTTAATGTAAGCCAAATCACAGGCTCAATGATTGGTCAGAGAATGTAAAACTTTATATGAATAAATAGTGTTTAATCACTTAAAAATATACCTTGGCTTCTGTGTCTTGCCTTTTGCTTTTACAATATGTCTTATGTGAGATATATGAAACATAATCATCTTAATGCTAATCGTTATTTTGTAGATAACACCACTGCCGTGATCACCTCACATATCAACGAAGAAATCAATCAACTGTCCTCGAAATAATTTGGAAATAAGGAGGGCGAAAAGAAGACCTAGGAGTGGAATTGCACGCCTAGGCCGTAAACCACCATCACCAGCTGCATGTAGCGCAATTCACATTTGTTACCCAATACTCATCATCATCATCATCAAGAAGAACTACCAAGGAGAGCACAAGAACACGCCCCACCAACCACAGTTTATTCCAATTATTTACGCACCACTTCACACAATCTCTGATAATCACCACACGTCATCATCCATCATTCAGGCTTGAAAATGTCGTTAACCACTTCCAAATATTCATCATTCATATTCTGTTCTCATCGCCTTCACCTGCCTTCATCTACTCTTACAGACTCGTCAGAAGTCACAGATCAGTCTTCAGAATACATGCAATCAGATGGCAGTGATGATCAGTTGACCAGCACGCCTAAATTCCAGTCAACATCATCGCTGCTAGTGGATTCATTAACTGAATCGCTAAACATGGTAAGCGATAACCTCAGACTTCACAAGCTATGCATTACTCATCATTAATGTATTTCATCTTTCACAATACAGTCTACAATCACTTTCATGCACTTACACAAATAATGACTTGGCCACATTATCACAATTCGACTCATAGAAATGCAGCTTTTCATTCTTTGACTCTCGCTGAAATCTTCACTTAAAACAGACGCAATTTTAATGTAGAGTTTTCTGCCTTTCCGTGTTGTATTTCCCTATATTCTTTTGTCGTCCTGCCCCCAATTATTTTCTCAGTTTTCTTATGTATTTTTCTTACTTTGACTAAAATAAATTTATTCTTGCCCATATTTGTTCATCTCTTTGAAATGTATTTTCTAGCATCCTTTTCATTGGAGATATACACTAATCTTCATTCTGTTTACGGTTGTCAGCATTTGTCAGCCGGTACTTAACTCAAGTATTTTATCTTGTAAATGCCGAATTAAGACAAGTTTTCCATCCGATTTAGCAAAGAGATTAACCTATTACAGCTATTCAGTTTACATTAGTAGTGACAAATATCAATACAGCAGTTGCTTTTGATCGCTGATCATTGAGACTACTGTCGAGAACACTCACACTAAACTTAAGTATTTTGATATCTAAGATTCGACAATATGTCAGTCTCCTGCAATGTGTCACAATAAATGTCTTGCCAAGTTGCGGGATGACTGACTGAATTGAAATAGCCACAGCAACTAACACGGCAAAATAATAAGCGAAAATTCCCCAGTATCGAATGGAAAGACTATTTCGGGAAGTCCAGAATCTTACACATGGATCAATGACAATACCATTTTGTACATTTTACAATGAAAATCCAATTTGTCATGTGGATCAGTGCAGTTAAAGTATATGAAATCATAAGTAATTATCATAGAAATGCAAAATACTGATTCCAGTCTATCGACCAATACACAAACTGTCATGTGAATGTAACACTGTACAAGTAAAAATATATAAGTCTGTAGACAATATGTCTATTGTAAATTGTTGCGCACGTTAAATCGAACGGCTCGGTGATTCAACACTGCAATATGTATACACCCCATAACCGATAATAAAGTGTTTCCCATGGCTTTCAGACAGCTTTGTCACTGAAGTTTCGCTTTCCATTAGAGAATGGAACAAAAAGATTCACCATAGAATTGATTCTCGCTCCTTCGATATTTTGGACAAATAATGTAAAGATGTCGGTGATGCTGATCGCCATTGGAATTATACACTCCCATAATCTGGATAACAGGGTATATAGGAGACTCCGTCTCACAATAAATCCACTCACTAAAGCATTTCAATCGTCGGAGTGATGACAGGAGACAAGATTTCCGTTACTGAGAACATAACATGTTATGCCAGCGATGAATAACACATTACATCTCACAATGTAATGACAATCTATTTTTATCGCGCCTGGCATAGGTGTATTTGCATTTCTCAACCATAAACTCCGCATCCACAAACGACTGTCTCAATCGATACTGGTGGACTTTTCAGGAATTGGAAATAAACGCAAACGGTTTCTTGACGACACACACAGTCAATAAGTTGCTCTGGTTCATACTATATCTCTTGTCACACAGTTCACAATTGATCTACCATACACAACTGTGCTCTCAGTGTCACCTCACTCTGATATGATCTCTTCTCTCTTGCTGATTTCAGGAGAAGGAATTAGTCACTAGCAGAGATCGAAGACAGGATTCAGTGCATCTATCCTGTGATATTTCGATTGCGAGCGATCAAAATATCCACAAATCCTCAGATACAACTGTTTTGCTTGTACTGTCATCTCGTGAGGTGGAGGTGGCATTGTCATCAGCTGAAGGGTTCGGCAACTTCAAAATGTCACTGTAGGCAATCATGCCTTGCATACTGATGCTGAGCTGTCGGTCATAGGTGACATGATATGCGTTCACCACTAGACGGAAGCAGTGAACCGGATAAATGTCAGCATAGTTTTCAGTATTCTCAACGCTTTCTTTCATTTTCTGTTGAAAACTTTTACTTAAG